TTCTATATCTCCTTCTTGGAAACCCACAGTACTCATGAGTAAATTAATGCCCTGAGAAGTCATACAGTAAGGGAACTATTGTGTTTAATTCAAGTCAGCCAGGGTTACTTGACCCTGGCATCCTTTTCTGAAGGGTAGTACTAGCATCACATAGGACAGAGTTTGCAAAATGCTGTTCTAGTTCTTGCCTGTAAATAAATGTTTATTACATAAGACAATTCCCTAGGCTCCCATTCAGATCTACAGGTCAACACAATCCATGATGTACAAAAAGAATTCAAATATAGTATGAAAACTATAAGCAAAAAGAATAATGGCCATTTGTCTCCCTCATCTTCTATCTTCTCTTAAGCTAACATTCAGTGAGAACTTGCCACGTGCCAGGGACTGTTCTAGGTGCATTTTTAGCAGGTAGTAACTAATTTAATCTGTCATAGGTAAATGCTAAGTAGGACATCTCTGCTCTGTAAGTCTATGAATCACAACACATTCAAAATATCAATAGTAATGTAACTATAAATCCTCCTAAGATGCTTTATCTAGCTTATTTTTGGAGCTGATTAGATTTTTTTCTAAAGTAAAAACAAAACGTAGAAAAATGTCCATATAGTTCTCAACGTATATAGAAACCATAATTTCTCAGATATTAAATATTCAAAATTACTTCTATAATTATACATTTACAAATTTAATATTATTTGAAAATTAAAATTCATGTTTTTAACTATATTTTCTAAAATATTTTGCAATACCTTTAATATTGGAAGAGCTTCCACACTCCCTTTTGGAGCCCCAAGGGATTCACTAGTCCCTTTCCTTAAAGGTATATCTGAAAAATAGAGAGAAAGAAAGAAAGAGAGGAAAGAAGGAAGGAAGGAAGGAAAGGGAGGAGGGAGGGAGGGAGGGAAGGAAGAGAAAAAGGAAAAGGAAGAGAATAAAAAGAGGAAAAATAGGAAGAGGAGGAGGAGAGAGTAGGAGAGAGAGAGAAACAAAGAGAAGGAAGGACCAGAGAAAATAAAAGGATGAAGAGAAAAATGGAAATATAACAGTGAATCATAATCATAAAGAACATTACGCTAGTTATCTTTTTACCCATGATTTTAGAAATGATTCAACACTTAGAAGTTGAATAACAAATTATTTCTTCCACATAATTACATTTGGTCTTTATATAAGTTAATTTAAAAGCATCTTGTAGTGCTTGCTTTGGTAGCACATATACTAAAATTGGAATGATACAGAGAAGATTAGCATAGCCCCTGTGCAAGGATGACATGCAAATTCATGAAGCGTTCCATACTTTTAACACAGTATTATGAAGCAATTATACTCCAATAAAGATCTATTTAAGTAAATTAATTAATTAAATAAACTGAACACTATATTCAACTGTACACTTGAGTTTGAAATACAATCAAGATAATAAACCTATCCATCACTCCTAAAAATAAATAAATAAATAAAAGCATCTTGTAATACAACAAACCAAGTCAAAAAGCTTGATTATCAGCAAGGTTATATTATGGTAAAGAGATTGGTCTTTCTATATATTCTATAGAAAGTTCACTGAAAAGCATTCAGCAAATAACAGTAAATTTAGACAAATGTCAGAGAAGTCTGGCTTGAATTAGAATATAAATAATAAAAATGTATATGGCGATGCTAGTTTCCTAGTCTAAAAATTATTCAGTAATTCCAATTAGACAATGAATTATTTAATAAACAGATGAATAAACATCTTGAAGCAGATTATCGTAATTAACATACAAAAAATGACTTGAACTTTGTGTTTTATGTGCCAATATGATAGTGAGAATAACATTGTTGTAAAAGTTATAAAAATTTATATGTCTAAATGGGGACAACTGCTCATGACATAAATGTAAATGTTTTCAAATTTACAAATGGACTGTGCTCTAATATTGATTAGTTCTTTAGAAATGAAACATTTTAACAAAGGATCAGTATAATAAATTGTATTTAGCCCATTTATAATTGAAGAATATAAAACAATGGTCTCCCAGAAGTAACTAGTAAACAAAATAATAAAACTGAATAAGAAATAGACATTTTTTTTAAAAAGTAATCATTGGACCTTTTGCTTCCAGTAACAGATAATCTGGAAACATTCTGCTGGCTAGGAACCTGGAAAAATATACTTTTTTTTTTCATCTGCAAGCTAAAACACTAATTTCAATGCAGAGCCAGGATCTTGGGAAGGAAGTATCCTCCGGACCTTGGGAAGAGAGTCCAGGGACTAGAGAATGGCATTAGAGCTACTTTTCTCACTGAAGACTTTCCTCACTTCTGGAGAGGAAAGTTCAGAAGCTGAGTGGTACTCTCACAGCCTTCAGAGGACACAGCAACAGAGATTGGTATCCAGGGCCCACCAAGGGTGAAAAGCCAGAAGGGGCCACATCCTAGGAGTCAGAGTAACTGAAAATAGGTCGAAGAAAGAGCATCTCAGCTTTAAATTATCTTAATCTCTCAAATTGGAATAATGGGACCCTGGAGTAGTAGTTCCTTCATGCATCTGGTAAAAACAAGCATAAATCTTCCCTGGAAGAACAGATCATCTAAGGCTTTAAATTACTTTTACAAAATATTTAGCAAATATAGTATCTACCACATAATCAAAAATAACCAGAGTAACCAAACAGTCGATGAAGTAAGTTCTTCACTTAAGGTATCAATAGAATAAATGCAGATGGAACGACAGAAGTTAGAAGCCCCTCCTGGCTTACTTACCCCTCCTCCAGTAGCCTTCAACCAATGACAGATAAAGGTACAAATACCACAATCTCCCAGTTCTCTGAGGCATGTTCTATACAGCCTCCTAGAGGTCCCTCATGGGAATAAGCCCTGTACCCACAACAGCAGCCTTCTCATGAACTTCCTGTACCCTGTATTCGCTTCTTTTCCTTCTCTGTCTCATTTCACCCCACCACCCTGCTTCCCTGGATCGCATTCCAAATAACTACTACACTCAACTCCTTGTCTCAGAATCTGCTTCTGGGGAAACCAACCTAGGAAAAGAGTCAAGCTGACAACACCTGAACTCACTGGTAAATCTTTACATCATAACAAGTGGGACAACCAGGCATTACATGGCTCCTGATGCAATGCAATAGGGAGTATGCATGAAGTATGCTCGCCCCCCAAAAAAAAAGATACTGGCAAGAATACTTTTTGAAAATGTATCACTTGAATACAAGCAACCTGGTAGATCTAATTACCAGGTAGAGAAACAAGTTAATCAACACCACAAGAATAGAAACAGCCAAATCCAGTATGTGGGAAATCCTACAGGGGGATAATTCAATTTCTTCGGGAGTAAGGAGACGGGGAACTGCTACAGGTTACAGAGAGAGACTTAAGAGACACATAAGAAAATAAAATGTGTGGGACTGTTTGGATCCTGATTGGAAAAAACCAACTTAAGACATTTTTAATACAATCAGGGACACAGGAATTTTCTACTTATTTTGTAAGGTGTAATAACAGTAACATGGTGCTTTTATAAAAAGAAAACAAAACCTTATCTGTTAGATAGATAGACCAACACATACACACACAACACATACACGTGTATATGGTGAGGTATTTGCTGGTGAAATGACATTGATGTCATCAATGTCTGCTTTAAAACACTCCGGGAAAAAGGAAAGTGTTGTCAGGAGAGATGAAATAAGATTAACAAAATATTCATAATTATTGGTACTGGATGATGCATACTCAGTGACTTATTTCACCTCTCTATATTAGAAATTCTACATAATAAAAGTTTTTAAAAAGGGAAAAGCATTTTAAGACAGAATGTGTCAAAAACATGACTTCAAGCCACTGAAAGTGTTAGATAGCCAGAGACCTCTAACCAGTGGTCCTCAAGTTTTGACGTGTATCAGAATCTCCTGGTAAGCTAATGAGGACCAGGAAGGTCCAGGCTAGTTGAAGTATGATAAGAATTTTTAACAAGTTCCCAAGTGATACTGATACCGATCAAAGTTTGAGAACTATGACTGTCAAATTCCATCTGCAAAGCTGCACTCAACAACCAAGAATAGGCAGAGCCAGAATAGCAAATCTCTGGGAAAACAATTATTACAATAACTATTACCAAATCCCTCACACGTCATACACACTGTAAATGGGGTGAAATAGGAAAGTAGACACCCACATGTCTCACCCACCTCATTTTCTATATGGGAGTTACCTAATGAAACAGATAATTCAGGGGTTCAACCACAGGCAGAAGAAAGAATGAGGAGGGCAGACTAATCCTCTGAGAGAAGCCACCTCCTGGAAGGAGAACAGAATAATGGCAGGAAGGGGTTGGGACAGGGAGAGGAGGAGAATGAGTGGGAAATGGGGCAAACAGAGGAAGAAGATAAGAAGAAAAGGAAAAGAAGAGAGGCAACAGAATAAATGAAGAAAGAAGGAGAATTTTCAAAGGAGGGAATCAGGAGAGAGACTTAAAAAGGAGACAAAAGATAGAAGGCCATGGATTCCTTCAACAAACATTCGTCTGAGCTCCTCCTCTGTGTCAGGCAATGTGCTGGTACCAAGGATAAAACGGTGACCTGAACACGCTCTCTTCCTTCATGAAGCATCACTCTAGTGGGAAATGGAAGGGGAGGGAGTAGGATAAAAGGGAGGAGAGAAAAGTAAAAAGGAAGAATGGGGGTGGGGGAGAGACAGGGGTAGGTGGACATGAGGAACGGAGGAGGGAAACATCTGAGTGAAGACAAGACACAAAGAGTTTCATCTGCCACTGAACCACAGAGCATATGACCTTTTTTTAACATCAACTTGGCCGAACCTGTATCATTTCTATCTTTGACTATAAATCATCACTGAAACACAATACTGAAATGCCTAGTTTCCATAAACAGATGTTAACCAGTAGTACGATTTATACTTATATATTCATATGTATATATATATTAATGACCTCATATTTTTTCATTCAATATTTTACCTAGAAATTTTTTAAATTTTCTTCTTGGGTTTCCTAAAGACTCCAATATTTCACTTAATCGTAACGCGACCTCTGCCACCACCACAACATCAATGTCTTCCATTTTATAGCAGTGAATTATTTCATTTATCTGCCACAGAAGATAAACCCACTAAAAAGAGAAAATACACAGTATAATCAATTGAAAGCAACTACATTGTAGAAAGAGTCACACTTTGTAAAACTTAGTACTTCCTTGAAATCACCATCTTCTAATCATATGGAATACTATACAGGTACTCCTCATTAGTTGATCTTAATTATAAGTAATATAAAGATCAATAATTCTAATAAGATGATATTTAATGATCTATCTGTTGATATAAATTTACAAAGAAGATTTACTTAAGCTTATAGTCTGCATATCTATAGCCATAATGGAAAATTTATCATATGGTATATATATATATATATATATATATATATCAGTGAAGACTATCTGTATCTTCAAAATTCTCATCCTCCCTTCAAAAAGCAGCGGTTAAGATCACTATCAAAGGCATCCAAAATAGTGAGGGGGAAGTGGATGTTTCAAGTTCCATGCTGGGTGCCTTGGAAGCTGTCTTTCATGTCTATAACCCCAAAGCTTGCACATAAAATTAGCCATCACAGTTTGGGAGCTAAAATGAGAAAACAACATTTATGCACCCACATCATTAGTTTATTAAACTATACGATAAAATCATGCCCATGCAACCTTATGTAGCTAATCTTAGGAGGCTTCAGAATCATAGAAGACTGTGTTACTGTTAAAATATTCTCTCCTAAGTTTCCAGGTTATAATATTCACCTGTTCAACTTTCTCCTTTCCAAAGGAGAGAGCTCAAAAATATACTATTGATATTATTACCAAAAAAACTGAAATGCCTTACTTGTATTTTCTATTATTAACCTTCTTAATGAATATATCCAAGTTCATATAACCTTAAACATACTGTATTTACTCCTCCCTTAAAAACCTGAAACACCTCCCTGCTTCCCCAAATTAAACTGAGGCAGAAGTGCAGGGAATACACTTAAAGGAAAGGCTCACTCACCACTACATTTAAAGAATAGTATTGATAATTATGCGGGTGGGTAAATAGGGAAAATTTAGGTTGGAAATGTGCATCACAAATTAAATTAGCAATAACAAAAAGCATATGAAGAGAAACAAAAAGGAATACTTTATTAGTACTGATTTTCTGGGTGAATTTTGCATAGTCATTTCCAGACACATTGACCCGCTGAATTCCTACTTTGCACTTCTGCCATAGGAACATTATCACGTCCACAACGATTTCTTTATCAGGCTGAGCATTCTGAAAACAAAAGTGGTAAAGTAAATTGATAAGAACAGTAAGATATAGAGATATAGGTATACATTTAATGTGTGCCAGGCAACATTCTCAGAGCTTTATACTTACTGCAGTGAACTGAATGTTTGTGTCAACTCAAAATTCTTATGTTGAATTCCTAACTCCCAAAGCAATGGTATTAGGAGGTGCCTTTAGGAGGCAACTGGTATGAGGGTGGGGCCCTCATGAACAAGAATAGTGCCCTTATAAAAGGGACCCCAGAAAGAGACTGAGAGACTCCTTTCTGCCAAGTGAAGACACAGCAAGAAGACAGCCATCTATGAACCAGGAGGCAGATGACGCCTTGATTTCTCAGCCTCCAGAACTGTGAGAAATAAATGTTTGTTGTGTAAGCCAACCAGTCTAGGGTATCTTTGTTATAGAAGCTCGAATAGACTAAGACATATACCAGCTCATTTAATCCTCATAACAACCTATGAAGTGAGTACTATTACTATCATTCCCCACTTTACAGATAAGCAAACTGAAGCACAAGATGAAGTGGTTTTTCATAGGATAAAATGAAAGAAAGTAGCAGAGCCAGGATTCAAACCCAAGAAGTCTAGCTCTAGAGACCTCACTCTTAACTACTCTAGGCTACTTGACCTCTCTAAAAAGAACAGTTCCAAATACTTTTAGGCAAGTTATGTAAACCTACCAATTTCATCCAGATTTGAAGTGTGTACATACTTCTTTCTTTTTAAAATTTCTGTATTAAAATAATAAAGAAGGGACTTCCCTGGAGGCGCAGTGGTTAAGAATCCGCCTGCCAAGGCAGGGGACATGATTCAATCCCTGGTCCAGGAAGATCCCACATACCGTGCAGCAACTAAGCCCGTGCACCACAACTACTAAGCCTGAGCTCTAGAGCCTATGAGCCACAGCTACTGAGCCCGCGTGCCACAACTACAGAAGCCTGCACGCCTAGAGCCTGTGCTCCGCAATGAGAAGCCACTGCAATGAGAAGCCCACGCACCGCAATGAAAAGTAGTCCCCAATCGCCGCAACTAGAGAAAGCCCGTGTGCGGCAACAAAGACCCAACGCAGCCAAAAATAAATAAATAAATAAACAAATAATAAAGAATGGAGAGGTGGAGAAACTAATAAGGGGAAAGGGAATGGGGAGCTGGGAAAGGTTATGGACAAAAAGAAAAGAGAGACATGAAGGAACTAAACTGAACATCACATTGGATATCAACAGATGACCCAAATCAAGTAGATCTCCTCTCAGTTCAGTTACTTTGGCTCTTTCCAAAAGGAAAATAAAGTTATTCACTGTATACGAACTAGAAAGATAATGAGTTTATGATTAAAATATATCAAACCTCGAGCTCCTTTGGGGCAGCTCTAAGACTTATTTCGCATATGCGGGACCTTAGTACAGTGCTTGGAAACATAACAGAGCTCCAAAAATGTTTACTGAATTGAACTGAACTAAGATACACATGGTTTTTTAAAAAGCAGAAAGATGAAAATTTCATGCACTTTTCAGCCTTGATTGGAATTTTTTGGTTCGGTTTGCCCACTATAATAAGTATATTTGCTATCAAATACCTTTCTTTCAAAAAGTAAACACCTGTCACAGGTTATAACAAACTAATAAATGAAGGAATAGAAAATATTATAAGAGTGGAACTTCTCAAGTCCCTTACTGTGTTTCACTTGCCTGAACAATAGTTAATATAATGCTCTATAACTGTGGTTTTCAAACATTTTTTTATAACAGTAAAACCAAATTTTCAAAGGAAATTCCCTCAGAATCTCAAAAACTAATAGGAACCACTTAGGGTGTTACGACCTAAAGCTGGCTCCTGAGGAGCCTCAGAGAAACTCGGGGGGGGTGGGGGGGGGGTCCCTGGAATTCAGTTTAAAACCAGTGCTGTACTAGTTTTGCTTAAATATCCATACCCACAAATCATCATTTCTAAATACTGGCCATTGTGTGCTAAGTGACTCCAAATAATAACCAGGCTTTGTACTCAGGGACCGGAAAGCAGTATTTTAAGAATATTAACTCTCACTAAAACCACTGCCTCATTTCCTTCATCATTAGAAATATAGCTAACCTCCGCAGTGCTTTGTGTCCACCTAGAGGGGTGGGATAGGGAGGGTGGGAGAGAGAAGCAAGAGGGAGGAGATATGGGGATGTAGGTATACGTATAGCTGATTCACTTTGTTTGATTCACTTTGTTATACAGCAGAAACTAACACACCATTGTAAAGCAATTATATTCCAATAAAGATGTTTAAAAAAAATGCAAGAAAGAAGAAAAACTATACATATATACAAGAAAAAAATAAGAAAATCATATGTTAGAGAAAATAGATGTTAGAACGAGTCTTAAATTTAAGAATCTGGAAAAAAAAAAAAAAGAAATATAGCTAGCCTTGGAATTTCCCAAGAAGGAAGAGACTGACGCCCAAAATGATGACAATAATAAAAACAAATTTAAAATTACAAGTCAGGGTATAAATTGATCTCTTCTTCTAATGATTAAACAATACAGAATTTCAGCAAGGTGAAATTCCTGTGATTTTTAAATCTGGCTTTAAATTAAGTAAAAGAGCCTCCTTTGACACTATTACAAATTATCCAAAATAGCTTCTTCACCTGTGGAGAGCCACAGACACAGGAATACAAGGTTGCCGCCAAATGGAAAATGTCTTCTGAATATCCACAAGTCTTCACAGAAGTATCTCAATTTATAAAATACAGGAAAATGAAACAAAAAATTTCGTTACAAAATTTCAAATAGAAAAGGCATAGAAACACAGAAATTCTACAAAAGTGACATAAATGATATCTGGGCAAATAGTATATCAATAAGACACTTTAAATGCTTCTGTGTGAAAATTAATCTAAGTAGGCTCTAGTTCAATTAAAATGGACTATTAATATTTTCATTAATCTGCAATCTGTATGCCAACTATGTCCATAATGGAATTGAGAGGGTTTATAATATTAAAACATATAGGGCAGCTGAAATAAAAATAACAAAGGTATCTATTCAGAAGCCATTAGAAGAAAAAAAAAGCATCGTTACTTGGTACAAATTATTTACCACAATTTAGCAGCCATTCAATGCTTTAAGAATATGATAAAACATAAACGTATAGGATTAAATAATTCTCTAAAAATCAGAGGCTGCAGATTTTCAATTATATACACAATGACTTTTAAGACGTAAAAAGTTTTAGAATGGAAAACTCTGCATACTGGAAACAGAGAGGAGACCACCAAACCTTCCCTTACCAAAGTGAACTGACAGATTTGATTTGCTGCCCTGCTGGCCTCTCACTGATAAGGTAGCAGCTAAGTAGAGCCTCATTCTTTTACTCAAAACCATGACTCAAAATAAAATCCAGCATCCTTACAAGGCCTAGGAACCTGCCAGACCAGGCACGCAGCTATTTCCCTGAGCTCACCTCCTACCACATTCTCAAATGCCAGCACCACCACTCGTGCACTCCAACCATACATGCCTCCTTGCTATTCTTTCAACAATCAAGCACACTCTCACTCAGGGCCTTTACACTTCCTGCTCCCTCTGCCTTGAACATTCTTTCTCTCACCTCACCTGTAGAGAGCATATAAAGTCATCTTAATTTTTCAAAAATGCAAATAAATACTCACCATGAAGAGCAATTTTTTTACCATAAACTTGACCTCCTTTGTAGTTTTCGAGGGGAAAGATCAAACCTTTGTTTCTCTTTACGTTGATTAAAGGTTCTATTGCAATGAGAAGAATTAAATCTTTCTCTGCTTTCTTTGACTCTGGATCATCCTGCCTCTAAGAAAAGTATATCCCACGATTAATTACTTCAGTGTCATGCTAATAAAATAAAAACAAAGTAACTCTTTTGCATATATTACCTGGAGAAAATCAATAAGCTGCCCAGCTGCAGATTCAAATAAACTCCATTCCTCATAAGTAAAAGCTAGTTTTATAAATTTTACAGCAGCATCCACAGAAATAACATTTTTCCTTCTTATAATAAGTTCCAAAAGAGAAGACTTTGGAAAATCAAGCATGCCATCTGCACTGGTATTTGACACTAGAAAAGGAAAGAGAGGGGTTTGGAAGTCATTTGTGCAAAGAAATATTTACTAAGTATTAAATGTCAGACACTGCCAGGCTAGGTAAACAACGGAAAAGACGCAAACACAACCCCTACCTTCACAGAGCTCGCACGCAGGTGGGGGCAACAAGGAATCTTAGGGGGCAAATACCTTGGTGCTGCGTGGACAAGTAAGAAAGGCATCGAACAGAGGTTTGGAGTAGGAGGTCGGTCAGGGAAGGCCACCCCAGAGGGAGGAACATGGAATCTCAAGAAGAGAGGATTAGCAAGAGTTGACTAGTGAAACAGACAGCTAGATAATACAGACTGGGAGCTCGGAAAAGAGATCTCAAATAGGGATATAGCTTTAGGGTCATCATTCCATATCCACAGTAAATGGGCAACAGACGGCTGCCTAGGACAGAGCAGCAAGGAACCCCAACAAGTAAGAGAAGGGCAGCGGGAGCAAAGGCTGCAAGGGAGAGCGTTTAAAGAGAAAGGAGTAGTCAACAGCAACAAATACTACAGAGAGCAAAGGGAAGAAAAACACTGACTTTCAAACTGAACAATAAGGAGGTTGTCCCTGACACTCTCTGTCCATGACAGAAGACCGCCAAGTACAAGCAGGAAGGAAAGAATTTGGGACAGTGAAAACAGACAACTCCTTCAATAAATCTGACTCTTAACAAGAGGAAGAAATACAGGGGAGGAAGCTGGATAGGGATGAAGGGCAGTCTGCAGAGATTAGTCCCAAAGACCTAAAGAGGAGGAGAAGGAACATTCCTTCCACTTTAATGACAGACAGTGGGTGAAGGTAAATTTTAGGTGTGGGTGAAGGAAGTCAAGGGAATTCTCCTCTGAGATCTCGTACCTTCCTTGTGAGGAAAAGATGAGCCCAAACTGCGGCACAGAGGCTCCTTGCCCTCAGACGGGTGCACACGTGCACACACACACACGCACATCCTAAGCTCACTTAGATGAGCATGATGATGTTACAAACAATTTTATGAAAATTTTAAAATATAGATAAAATCAAAGTACTATTTACCAAACGGAAGATTTTTTTTTAATGAAAAGAAATTCTAAATCATTTTATATCTATGGAAGAAATGTAATCCATAGTTAAAAACATTTCCACAAAGAGAATTCCAGGCCCAAATGCCTTCACCAGCAAATTCAAACATCTGAGAAGAAATAACACAAATCTGACACAAACTCCTCCAGATAATAGAAAAAGAGGGCAGAACTCTCAACTCTTATTATGAGGCCAACATGACCTTGAGAGCAAAACCCAAAAAGGATATTATAAGAAAGGAAATCTCTCTCATGAACAGAGAAGCAGAAATATTAAACACTAGCAAGAAAATCAAGCAATATATCAGAAGGATAATCCTCACTGCCAGATTAAGTTTATTCCAAAAATATGGAGTAATTAAAAATTAGATAAGCAATCAATGTAATGTACCACATTAATAGAAATAAAAGACAAATCCATTTGATTAACTCAATAAATCTCAATAAACCCATAAAAAAGGTTTTGATAAAATTCAACAACTATTCAGGATTAAAAACAAAATCTTAGCAAACCAAGAATAAAAGAAACTTCATTAATCTCAAACAGGGTATCTAAAAATATCCTTCAGCAAATATCAAAATTAATGATAAAATACTGAAAGCTTTCCATCTGAGATCATAAATGAGACAAGGATATATGCTATCACCACTTCCATCCCATGTTTTACTGGAGAGCCTAGCCAGTGCAAAATAAGTCAAGAAATGCAAGAAAGAAGAAATTAAAAGGTTAAGAATTGGAAAGAAACATAATTGTCATTATTCACAGATCATATGATTGTATACATAAAAAATCCAAAAGAAAATCTACTAATACATTATCTGAATTATCCATTGAATCTAGCAAGGTTGCTGAATTCAAGATCAATAAAAATCGGTATCAGTTTCTTAGGTACGGACTACCGTGCTAAAATTTTTATTATTCATGTTCTACCATAAAATATTATTTTAACAACATATTTACTTATTAAAAGTTCTTTTCCTGCTATAAACAGTTCTGAGACAACATCACGAACTTCTACTTCATCTGTAGCAACAGGTCCAGTTTGTAGTGTTCGCCGACTGGAGTCAGAGAGAGCCTCCAAGACAGCCAGAAACCGGGATGCAGTGCTATCAAACATCTCATCCAACAACTGTTCTGTGACAGTACGTGGCCACGGCAACTGGAATAAAAAAAAAACAATACAGCTCACTTTTTTCAAGTTCTGCAATGTTTGATAGTATAAGACGAAGACAAGTAAGGTGTGCTTCATTGACGCTAAAAGAGAGAGTGGTTGGTCTGTTGATGAGAGACGGCTGCTTTTATGGTTTTCATTTTTTGAGGTGTCACTCCAGACTTTATTAAAGTTTATTTATGTCATGCTGCCATTACATCAAAAACGTTGCCATCTCTTTATATGTTTGTGTTTCCAAAGCAGCCTAAAAAGGCTGTTTATTAATAAATGGCATCATCAGTCTCTATACGGTTTGTAGTACCTCCATGACAGCCTTTAGGAAGTGATACTCAAACTTTGGTTGCCTCAAAATCTCTCAGAAGCTCGTTTTAGATTCACAGACCAAATCTCCAGAGATTCAGTGAGTCTGGGTGGGACATTTTTAGTAAACACTGGAGGTAATTCTAATGCAGAAGGTCCCCAAACCCAAATTTGAAACACTATTTTATAGTATAAATAACAGGTCTTATGGTAGCTAACTCTAAAAAAGAGTTGACCAGCTGTATACAAGTAAGCCAGAGCCAGTTAGAGCCACGTGCAAATCCCTAGCCACTGTGCTTTGTGTCGGCCCAGAATGATTTCACCCCAAGCAGATGGACTGCCTCCACACTTTAGTCTTCTCTCTGACAAATGACCTGTTCTCTGTACTTAGATTACCAGGAAACAAGAAAGGTAGCTCTAGTTGGCTTTTCTAGAATCCATGTCCAGTTAGAGGATATCCATATTTCCCACAATTTCCTTGCTCCATTCCTCTTCCTGGGGCAAAGTCAGAAAGACGGAAAAGCAAAAGCAGGGATAAAGCTGCTTTGGACTATTTTTCCCCAAACAAAAACTTCCCTGCTCATTAGCTTCCATGTGCTTTCAACCCTTAGGTTAACTGACATGTTAAAAACCTCAGTAAAGCTTAAGCTTCATGCCCTGCCCTCTCTTGCTTTACAAACAGACGTCAGGGTTTCTTCTAAGATGTTTGCTATGGGTTAAAACAGAGCTTTAAAAAATTATTTTTAAACAGCATAATAAACTTTCTAATAATTAGAAGTATTCAAAACGAAATGGTAAAACCCAAATAAATTACAGTGAAATTGTTTTTTAAAATATCTTAGAAAAACTAGCAAAATGTGAACCAGAGCTATAGATTTATCATAGCTATAGATGAATAACAATTAAAAGATTTTAAAATATAAATATTTAAAAGACCTACAAAAACATATTTAAAGCTAACGCAATTAAAAACACACTGGATTGCAGCTTCCCTGGTAGCGCTGTGGTTGAGAGTCTGCCTGCCGATGCAGGGGACATGGGTTCGTGCCCCAGTCTGGGAAGATCTCACATGCCGTGGAGCGGCTGGGCCCGTGAGCCATGACCGCTGAGCCTGTGCGTCCGGAGCCTGTGCTCCGCAATGGAAGAGGCCACAACAGTGAGAGGCCCGCGTACCACAAAAAAAAAAACAACACTGGATTGTCAAGCATGACAAGCAAAATATAATCTCTATAAAAACAATGAGCCTGGTGGTGGGATGAACTGGGAGATTGGGATTGACATATATACACTAATATGTATAAAATAGATACCTAATAAGAACCTGCTGTATAAAAAAATAAAATTAAAAAAAAAACTGTAGGCATAATGAAAAAAAATAAGCCTATTCAAATACATTTTAAAAATTAAAATCTCTAGTAGATAAATGGTGAAAGCTGTAAAAGATAATTCACCTGAAAAGAAAATATAAAGAGTAAACACAAATACAAGGGAAAGTTGGATCAAAATAATAAAGTTAAAACAAGCCACTTTATGAAAACTGAATTATTTTTAAAATTAAGAAATAATAATATCAAAATGATAATAGCTTGTGGTGGAATTGGTACATGTGGGCTGTCACCTTGGAGTACTTGTTTCGGAAATCAATTTGGCAATATGTATCAAGAGGAATAAAAGTGTCTGTAACATTATTCAAATTCTATACCTTGAATTTTACCCACAGGAAATAAAAGAAAGAAAAAATAATATACCTGAAGATGTTGATTACAGCAATACTTATAACAGCAAAGAATGGGAAAACAACTAAAATACTAGTAATAAAAAGTATTAGACAAATGCTGGTACATGTACTGCATAGGGTATACTAAACCATCTTTTAAATTGTCAAGATGGATGAGAAGCTGAATGATATAACCCATGCAGTCAGTTCCAACCCTAAACACCATGGCTTCCATGACATTGGTGCCATAAGATGTATTATGCTAATTCCCCAACATAATACATCCACCCCATTCAAGCTCAGTTTCTCACTGTCTCACTGTCCACCAAAAGTCGTTGCTTACTTTTGCTTCCAAGCTATGTTCATGCTCTTGTCCTTTACTTAGAATGTTTCCCCCCTTCTCCCTGTCTAATCAAATCCCACTTGTTATACCAAAGCCATTCAAAAAAGAACTTCAGGGCTTCGCTGGTGGCGCAGTGGTTAGGAACCTGCCTGCCAACTCAGGGGACATGGGTTTGAGCCCTGGTCCGGGAAGATCCCACATGCTGCACAGCAGCTAAGCCCGTGCACCACAACTACTGAGCCTGCACTCTGGAGACCACGAGCCACAACTACTGAGCCCGTGCGCCACAACTACTGAGGCCCGCGCACCTGGAGCCCAAGCTCTGCAACAAGAGAAGCCACTGCAGTGAGAAGCCTGCGCACTGCAATAAAGAGTAGCCCCTGCTCACCACAGCTAGAGAAAGCCCACGTGCAGCAATGAAGACCCAACACAGCCAAAAAAAAAATAAAAGAAAGAAAGAACTTCATCTTTTCTACGTGCCACCACTCTTGAACCACAGTAGGCCTTCGATACATGGCTACTGAATGAATGAAAAATAAATAGTAATAGCTCATACAACTGAAGACCTACCATGTGCCTACCATTCTAAGGGCTTTACATGTAAGTCATTTAATCACCACCATTATTTCCTTCTTAATTCTTATCACAAGCTATAATTTACTTATTTATTTATTATGTAATTTCTCCACTAGAAGGTAACCTCTACGTATCTTGTTCACAGAGCAGGTACTTTAAAAATATTTATTGAATGAATCACTAAATGGTCAATCATTAGAAGTCTGAATTAGCAGTCCTATAAAACAATCCTTTGAAAGTCAAAATGATTCACTGTGGGGACCTCCCTGGTGGCGCGGTGGTTGGGAGTCCGCCTGCCGATGCAGGGGACACGGGTTCATGCCCCGGTCCGGGAGGACCCCCCATGCCGGGGAGCGGCTGGGCCCGTGAGCCATGGCCGCTGGGCCTGCGCGCCCGGGGCCTGTGCTCTGCAATGGGAAAGGCCACAACAGTGAGAGGCCCGCATACCGCAAAAAGAAAAAAAAGAGAATTCCTCTCAAATGTTATAAGAAGAAATGAGGAAAGAGAATGGCAGTCACTGGAGTAGTTAGAATACACTGAGCTAGAGACCTGGGTTCTGGTTCCAGTGCCACCAGCAGCTGGCTTAAATACTCTGGGCTTTATGTTCCCCGTCTGTAATAGAAAAGGACTGAACCAAATGATTTCTAAAATTCCTTCCAGGTTCTGAGATTCTACTACTCTTCTGTCAGAAAGTGCTCATCTTCTCCCCCCTCACTTTCATTTTCAGTCCCAAAGAAGCTCATAAAAGAGAGTTTACAACTGTCTAGAATGGTCAGGGAACACTTCAAAGAAATACAGAGCTGGAACTTAAGGAACACTGAGATTCAGAATGGCCAGGGAGAAGACAGTGGGAGAAGGAGAAAGACAGAAGGGAGACAGGGCAGAGGACCCCACAGGCATATCTATGTCCCACTCCTCTCCCTGGGAGCCCTTAGTGCTGTTGGCCAAACACACCTGTGGCCAAGAGGGGCCATGTGAGGAGTTCTGACCATGTTAGAAAGGAGGCTGCTGTCACTTCCATGCTGAGCATCACTGCCTCTGTGAGGTCCTCCAGAGCTCTCTTAGGTGCCCTCTGGCAGAACGACCCGGCAATTTTCCAAATGAGGACTGCTCCTCAACCTGGCCCTGAGCATCGGTCATGAGCAGAGCTCCTGATAACTATAATAGTGTTTGACTCCAGTGGGAAGTAAATTGCTTTAAGCCACTGAGACATGGGAGTTGTTTGCTGCTCCAGTATAACCTACACCCTAAACACTCCCAAAGGTAAAACCAGAAGCTGATACGAAAAGGTGCCTCCACCTCTTCTCCATCCTCAATGCCTTTGAAGCTGACACCAAGTGGTCAAAAGGCCTCTGCAGCACCACTCAGAAGCCTGTGCATTTGAACCTTTCCCAGGCTCTTCAGCTTCTTGGCCTTTCATGTTACAAAACTGGGATTGTGCGAAGGTACAAAAGCTTTGAGAAAGGGATGAAGCAAGGCCGTGTCCACATTGGGAAGGCATTCTTCTATTTGCCACTGGTGCAGGGATTAGGGGGCAGGATTTAATACTTAGTCTCTAGGCTTAAAAGACAGAGAGGTATAACACAAACGCACTGCAAAAAGAGTCTAAAACAGAGAAGACGTTCTGAGACTTACAGTTTGTGCTTCCCTTAGGTTAACTCTTATCTTTGGTCTAAAGAAACTTTTGTTTTTTCTTCTAGATTCGAATACTCCCCTTTTGAAGATCATGACTGCCATCTGCCTCAAAAAGAAGAATTATATATGAAGTAACAGTGGGATGTACTTCTCAACTACTAATATTAAGTACTTAATCATTTGTAGAGTACAGTAAATTTCTGTTATTTCATGAAATTTTTATACCTTTATCGTGGCCTCTCTATAATATCCTCTGGATTCTTCCTGTGATTGTGAGGAACTCATTAATTCCAGTTGCCTTAACTCGTCAATTTTAGCCAAAGCACGCCGAGCAAATGCCTACATGCAATTAAAATAAATTTAATTCATAATAAGTTAGAGTATAGTGATTAAAAATGTATCAAGACAGTATGTTTTATTCTCCCAGACATTTGATTTAATTGGTGAATTAAACTCTATGCTCATGCTGATTCTTTAGAACATGGTAGCTGTCCTGTCAATCATTTCCGAGAAGCACCACTAATTTCTGTAAATCTAAAGTTAATAAAATGTTGGATATACTAACTTTATGAATTAATTCAAAAAGTAAGGAAAGTCAAATTCTGGGCTAAACAGCAGCTTCATATAGATGATCACTTCTCTGGCATTGTACCCACGTACGCACGCAAGCGCACACACACACACACACACACACACACCCCTCCTCAGTGCTCTTCTCAAATTCTAACCTTTCTACTAATACAAGCTGTATTATCTATTCAATTGCTCACACTGTCCACTAAATTGTGAGGTCCTTAAAGGGTCTTATTCATTTTTGGATTTCCAGTACCCAACATACAGGAAGTATTTATTAATATATGAGGAAAGGAAGCAGGCTAGCTTATTTAATCAGTTCACCATTATTATAATCCTTTAGCAATAACAGCAAAACAAGTTCAATTCATGCAATTTATTTTACTAGTTCTTCGCAGTACTTTATAATTTATGATTTTTCATGAAGATGCTTCTAGAACACAATAGTAACATAAAGGGTTACATTTTCCAATAAGAAAAAATTCCAATAGGAATCAAATGGTCAAAACTATGCAAACATTTCGATCCCTGATAAATTTAATAGCTATAGAAACATGCCACCACTAGTACACTAAAACTAACTACGCATATATGGTGAGTAGTTTCTAGAATGTATCCTAGGCTAGAAAAAGTATCCCACAAGGGCTGTATTAAGCTGTTCTCCTGCTG